TTCACCAAATTTGGCCACTAAATATTTGTGTCTATTTGTAGTTATATATTGTGCCACGAATAGCTATCACTAATTTGTAGCAAAAAGTTATAATGAGAATCACTTGCAGTTTTCTTTACACGAAAGTATCAAGCGATGATGGGTCGTTTAATTTATTGAAGGGTCAATATGTAGAGGTAAACTTTGTCTATAATTTTATTTTGAGTTCGATAACATTCAGAGCATAGAAAAAAAATCAGTCTCTTCTTACAAAGAATTAGGCAAAGAAAAGAGTAAAAAAAATTTGAAAAATAAAAGAGTTTTTTCGTTTAGTTTTTGATTTTTTAGTTAGTAAACGTTTTTTGTGAGAAAGATGTCAGTAAAGTATATGACTGATTTGCACTTATATTTCAAAACATGTAAGGAAATTAATTGGAGATGTAATAATTGCTAAAACAGTTTGCTTCTTCTGCAACAAAATGCATATAGAACTTGTGCATATGCAAAGATATACTACACCTCAAAATGTCATCGAAAGTTGAAGAGATCATTCCGATTCAGATTGGAACACGAGGTAACATGAATTTGAAGCCCTGACCACACTAGATCATTTGGATTCGAACACGAGTTGACATGTATTTGAAACCCTGACCACACTAGCCACCTCCATGAGCATAATCTCACGTCTCTTTTCCAACTTTTCCACATTTTCGAACTCTTCCAAAATGATTCGTTTTGTGGAAAAAGTTGCTTTCTTCAACCGTCTTGCGTTCTCTAGGATGTATGTTACCACTTCTTTCTCATCTTCTCGATGCCATTGGTATCTTGTCCACACGAATGTCTCAAGATGGAACAACAAACATTCCGGTACACATTTTGGTTGTTCCCATTCCCAGCCCACCTGACAAGCTCCTCTAAAATACCAGTGTGGCTGAGACCAATGAAATTAATATGATATGAGATCATCAAAGCACCTGAAACTGGATCTATGAGAAAAAACCATTGAAATTGTTTACGTCGATGAGCTTGAGGATTTGCAATTTAGGAGAACTATCGAGCATGAGAGAAAGCAGATTCCACACTTTCTTTCTCTTGTACCAACTTATGGAAAATATTACCAGTAGGATACTTGATCTATGCATGAGGCAAACATTAGTAGAAAAAACAATGTTAGCTCAACGTTTAGCAAAAACACTAAATCTTAAATCTTACCTCTAAGGGTGATAAGCGTAAGGTAAAACGTTTGGCTGAAGTTAGAGATGCCATAATGTTCTCATTAGTTATATCACAAACGTCAATGATTTTTGCCTCCACCAGCGCTGTGGAATTCTCAGTTAGACAAGACTCAAGATCACTGAACCCTTCAATGTTTAAGTATTTCAAAGAAGGGGCATTTATCACATAGCCTCCCTCACCTTCTCCTGAAAAATAGTCTTCTATGGTTAGTCTCTGTAATGATTGCACCGCAATAGTGAAAGTCTTCACATCGATATTGCCTATTCATCTCACGACCAAATCTTGAAGACTAGGACAGCCACATAAAAGGTTGCAAATAGATTCTTCGTCTTTGAATCTCACTAAGTCAAGATGCAGCTCTCTAAGGGAATCTAAGCAAACGCAAGAAGGAAAGTCTAAAATAATGCGATGTTTGAGTTTCAAGATCTCAAATGTATTATTACAGCTAGACAAAACACTCGGAAATCTGATTGTCCCTTCCTTCCAACGGTTAATATCATCGAGTACTAGTTTACGCACATTGCGCGTAAATGCGATTCCAATCAATACTGTAATCTCCGACGCATCACACCTTATATTCAATTCCCAAATGCAAACTCTAGAAACAGAGCTTTATGTGAGCTAAGAACCCTGTAAACATCTTCTGAAAATGCAAGGTGATGATGGCAAGTATCAAACTTGAGATTTGGAACCAGCTTCCAAAGAGATCTCCAACGTTTAGTCAAAACACTCGTGGCTATGACACTTTCTGTTGGAAGTGAAGATAATATATCTTCACAAGCAAATCTTGGGGCAACTCATTGATTCTGTCCTCATTCACAACATCTCCATTTCTCAAACTCTCACCACCGATTCTGCTGTCGAAAACCAAATAACCAAAATTTACAAAGATTTTTAGGGTTCAAAGAAATTAGTGTGAGTACAGAATTTGACATGATTCCATTCACAATAAAAGAAATTGGGATCAAAGCTTTTCTATAGATAAAACACTAAGTCACATGAAAAAACAAACAAGCAAGAATCAAGAAGAAAGGTGGAAACGTAATTTTATTCATAGTACACGAAGGAGGAAGAACAAGAATTTGTCTAATGATCATCTCTAGTATTGAAACTTGTTCTCGTAAAAAAGCTCTCCCTTTTCTTCTCTTGTCCTTTTCTCTTTTATAATCTTCTTCCTCTTTAGTCATTAATTTCAGAATTAATTCACCAATTAATTCCAATATTTGACCACCACATTAATTCATGAATTGAATTACAAATTAATGTCAAGAATTGACCGTTTTGACTTGGCTATTTGAACATATATGGATTTTATGTGATTATGGGCTTTCGATCAAATGGACCGTGTTCGTAGTGCGGGATCCGATGCCAACAATTAGGGTTGGATCTTCACAGCTATACAAAACCATACATAGGAAAGGGATTCTGAGGAGAAAAACATACCATTGTTGTTCCATATTGGTAAAAAAGGATCCTTCAAATTTACGAACGTTAGAGATGATAATGGTAACGAATCACAAAACCCTAACAGAGTAAAATCTGAAGAAGAAAGAGGAGTCGGTAGGTGTGAGAAAATTAGACCGATCGGTTTAAAAATAGAACCGAATCCAACATCTACACAAAAAGGCTTTTCTTATAATGCGTTCGTTTTATCTCAGCCCATAAAGGCCCAATAAGATTCTGTTAGGATACTCTTAAACCTAGAGTTTTTTGGTAAGCCGCAG